TCTCTCTCTCTCTCTCTCTCTCTCTCTCTCTCTCTCTCTCTCTCTCATATCTATCTCTCGTTCGCTCTCTATGAGGAGGACCGAGAACGCCATTGCATAAGGGATCATCCAGATAGCACGTCCGTCGTTTGCCGAATGCGAACTCTTATAGCGCCTGTCGGGTAGGCCACATCTCGCCTGCAGCGCGTGCGTGTACTGCGGGGTGGCCTACCCCGAGTTCCGCAGGCGCCAAGCTCCCGCGACTTCCCGATTGACAAACACCGCACGGACTGCGTGGGCGTTTCTGCGGTTGTAGTTTTATTATTTTACGATCACTGCATACTTCTATAAGATATTATTGGAAGAAGTTTTCACCGCCGGTACACGCGCGGTTGGCTGTATTTACGCTAAAAGAGAGAAGGAATGCGGACCGACTCCGGGCCACAAGTTTATTGCGGCGATGAAAATTCCGGATTGCGCCCTGCTGCTGCTGCTGCTGTGGTGGGCGGGGGGGACTCGGCCGCGCCGTCATTCACGCCGCAGCCAAGCCCGGCCGGGCCATAAGCTCGTCCGCGTTATTGCGCTATTGGCCGGCGCTGCATTATTGGCGTCATTGAATGCACTCAGCGCCGCGGCCTGCTGCTGCCGCCGACCTCCACGGGTGCGCGGGGGGTGCGCAGGCAGCGCTGACGGTGGTGTGAGGCAAGCCCGCGGGGAGGACGACACTCCACTACTTTGTGCTCGCCCCAGCCCGCCGAGCCTAAATTATCTCACTCGGCCCAATCGTCCTTCGAGTGATCCCCCTCCAGCTCTAGCTGCTCAGCTGCTCGCCGCCAATGTCCCGATATCGGTTTCACCCGCGAGGCGTGCAGCGCGCTGCGGAGCCGCGCAGCGTTTGCTAATGTCAACTATAACGTGGGGCACGACTCGCGATCGTGGCCGAGCAGGGCGGAGCAGGGCGCTGGTCTTTACCTTGAAAGGGAAAAGAGGAAGATGTCGCAGAAAGAAAAGGCTTGAAATCCTCTGAACGTTCTTTTTTTAAAAGTTATGTTAGGAAGATGCCCGATGATGGACACCTTTAGAGATGGATCTACCCAGTGATGGACACCCCTTTTTCTTGAAATGAAAACAACGGAGAGAGGTAGTTTCGATGATTATACCACGGTAGGAGTCTTACTAAAACATTAGTTCCTGAAAATCGAGAAAAGTGGCCATCACTGGTACAGTGTCCATCAGTGGGCACCTTACCCCTACGATTTTAGTTCGAAACATATCAAAATTCCTGCTATGGCACGACGTATGGCCTTTAAATTCGAGGACAAAGAATAAATGGTGAGTCGTAAGTTTACGATACGCAGTTTTCAACGTCGCAAGTTTACATCCAAAAAATATTGTGAAATCACAAAAATGTATTTTCCAAGAGAAAATAGGTAAAGCGTCTAAGTTAGAAGTCTATAAGTTATTTCTGACTTCCGATTTGTTTAATCGTACGTGAAATGTCAAGGATGCCTGATATGCCTCGCCAGAACGCACAATATCCGTGAGCGCTAACACGATCTACGTGCCGCGCGGTGTGTATGTCCAACACAAACGAGGATCTCTCTCCAGCTGGCTGCGCGCCGCTCTGCCTGCGCCGGCTCGGCTCGGGCTGCAGCACAGAGCGTGTACATATCCGTCACGGGTAACGGGTTCAACCACCCTCCTCCCCCCTCCCTTCCCCTTCACTTCTCGTCGCTCTTGTCTTATTGTGTATTTTTTTTTTTAAACGCTTGCGCGCAACGTGGCGCCGCGAGGAACGCGCACGCGCTGACCTAACGGCCAATTGTAGCGACTTTTAACTGCTCCTAAGTCTAACAATGGGGCGCAGCCGGCGCGCCGCCGCGGCCGGGGGTCCCCGCCCCGCAGGGGCCCCACTGCGGCCACCTCTGGAGCCACGGGGGGTGAGCGGGGCGCAGCCAGATGTGCGAAATGCAACGCACGAGAATTGGCTGCAGGATTCGGTTGAATCTAGGAATTGAAATGTATTAAAACCCGAGAGTAGGCTTGGTCCTATACTTTGGCTGCACACCCCCTAAAAATGCAAAAAATAAAACCCTTTGAATTTAATTCATGAGCATCCTATTTAGGGCAAACGTTCTTATGAATTAAGAGATCTTAGAATTTTGGGAAAAGTTATTTTTTCCGTGAACCGAGTCGCGTACCAAAATTACGAAGCAGCCTATTATTGCTGTTGGGGCACGGAATTTTTAAACCATATCACGAAAAATCCTCATCAGTGCTAACGTCACTTTAAAAAAATTAAACTTTCCCTATACCTACGCTTTTCTACCTGTTTGCATCAGTCATGTAGTACTGGACCAAACAGTTATCGTGCGCGTGTTATATACGACTCGTGGTAACAGCGGCACATCCTCCCATGCCCCCCCCCCCTCTCTTTATTTTGAGACTTCATACAAAAGGGCTAAAAAGCACCACTGCAGTATGCAGTCCGCCCCCCCCCTCTCTCTCTGTCCGCATCCATTCCAGAGTCATTTTCCTGACGAGCTCGGCCAGTAGTGGTGGGCGTGCGGGACCGTCATCATACCATCACACGACGATGGATTCGATTATAGTGAGCTCGCGGTGCGCGTGGCGTGGCGGAGCGCGGGGTCAAGTGCACGGAGGAGGGACAGTATGGCAAGGGCTCGCTCGATCTGGGTCAGGTGACGTCAACGCGACGGTCCCTTCTCCGTCGCCACCCCCTCTCTCTCTTCTCTTCTCCCCTCCCCTCCCCCCAGCCCTCTAACTACTAGCCGCGGCAATAACGGCTCGTCACCCCCTCGGCTATCGGGTCCAGTTAGCGCGCCCCGCCCCCCTTAGACTCGCGCTAATTGTCAAGGGCGCAGCGCACATTAGTCTCTGCGTAGGCGGCTGGCTCCCCCCGCGCGCACCAACCACGGACCACGGCGGGCACGGCTCGTCGCACACGGGTCATCAAAGGGGGCAATAAAACTTGAGAAAAATGTCCACCAAAACCGAAGCTATCGATCATACAGCATAGTTGATTCAGGAAAAAATTATTTGACATAGAACTTTTTTTTCTTTGGTTTTCGACTCACACCGACCCGACCTATACTCTAAATCCCCGAGGAAATTTTTCGTAACCAGCACCAGACTTCTGTGTGCATTGCATATCTAACATACTACTAATAATACCTAACTAAATATAATAATGAAGTACCTGAACTGGATGCGAGGGGGAAACGACTGTTAAACTTTGTGTCAGCCGGATTACAGATTATCCGGATTACCTCCGGAGTGTCCTCCGGATTACGTTGCTTTTTCTCTAGGATTACCCCGGATTACCCGCAAATTTTTCCCGGATTACCTCGAAATTCACCCGGATTACCACGGATTTTTTAGAATTTCCTCGGATTACCCCTGCCGGATTACCTTTCGGCTGTCAGCCGGATTACCTTAGTCGTTTCCCCCTCGACTGGATGCTACTTGCAAAAATTGTAACATCTGGAGTGTATCGGTGTAATTTTTTCTATAGCCACTTACCCGGCATGGTGGATTGATCACAGTGGTCCTCGACCTGCTTGACGAACATGTTGAACAGGTGGCTCATCTGGAACACACGGTAAGAGGAAGACTTAGACACGTCAACGTCGGGCACCGTTTTTGCCCTGTGGGCTTGGCAGGAAGGTAAACCTATCCACGTCACTGGGTCGCGCCCGGGCCCGGAGGTGGCGCCCGTTGGGGGAGGGGTGGGGGGAGGGGCTCACGGCTCACGGGGCTGACGGAGCGCGGACAGGACAGTATGCGTCCAGGAAGACGTTATATAAGGCATAACGCAGCCTATTGCCGCGCGGTGCCCCCCACACAGTCCCCCCCTTCCTCTCCGACGCACTTTTTTTCCCCCTATCCCCTCCCGCACCAGGTCCCCTTATTCGCGGATTCGCGCGCCCGCCGCCCGCCCCGGCCGCCGCGGACGCCGGCCCCGCCAACGCCACGGGGCGACCGTTTATTCACGTTACGTTTCAGCAGAATAGATCCCTTTGTGTCGCAACGCGCAGGGCGTGCGTAGCGGCGAGGTGCCCCCGCCCCGCCCCGCCCCGCCCCGCGAGTAGGCACCTGCCGCGGGGCCGCGGAGGCATTCGGCCGACGACGCTCGCTGGCATGCAAATGAAAACACAGCGGTACTGGGTGAACCGTTGTTGTGGCGTGGCGTGGCGTGGCGTGGCGTGGCGGGGCGTGGCGGGGCGGGGTCGGTCGGCCCGTTCTGGATGGGCTCCCCCCCCCCTTCCCCCGCGCAGTGAGAGGAGGCTGCTGGTGCAATGCGGGTCAGTGTGCGTACGGCACGGTCAGGCGCACACTGCGGCGCACGGCGGCGGCGGAGCACGGCGGGGTACAGAGACCGAGGTCAGCGCAATTACCAAGCGCCAGTATTCGAACCCGCAGGGGGCGTGGCGCGGCGTGGCGTGGCGCACGGCTCGTGTGTGTGTGTGGGGACGCCGCCGCGGGGGACCGCGACCCGCGTTTTGTTTCGGGGGCCCACCAGGTCGCGCGCTCGCGCAGGGTATGAATCAGGAGAGGTGACCATGACCACCTGCGCGTACGCAGTGCTACACAGGGCGACCCTAATGTTATGCTATGTACTCTGCACTAAATGTCACAAGCCGAGATAAAACGACTTCATCGCCTACACCAACACCGGTTGTGCGGGAAAAAAAGTTGAGCACTTTGTCAATCACCTTAAAAAAGTTGTAAAACATGTTTAAAAGTTACAAAACATGAAAGGGGGGGGGGAGATGTTTCTGAAATTGCGGACGTGTCTTACAGCGTGAGCAGAGTGCCTCGCCGTTGTCACACCGCCGTGACCTGTCGTCGTCGGCTTGCCCCGCGTCTCTTCAAATTCCGCGCGGGTCCAAACGAGCTGACGCCGGGCTGACGCGCCACCGCCACTTGCGAGGCTGCCTGCTCCTTGCGCACCCCCTTGCCTCCAGCAGCGCGCCGCGACCACTTAGGCCCCTTGGATGGACTGGGCCATTATCTGGTTGGGAAACGCGTGCCCTCCGCACGTCGCGGACCAGCCCCGCCGCCGGGCCACGCACCACCGCGGGGCGTGGAGGGGCGTGGCGTGGTGGGGCGTGGCGGGGCGTGGCGGGGCGTGGCGTGGTGGAGTGGGGCGGGGCCAGGCTGGCAGTCTCATTGCATCTGCTAGACGGTCGCACGAGGGGCCTCTGACATTTTGGTCCGCTTGGGTCGGCCCGATACCGATCTCTATACTTGAGCTGCGTCCATATTCAGACGAAAGGGGATGGCGGGATTTTCGGTTCCCAATATAACCTCTTCATCGAGCCCCGCGCCTCTCCTTCCTCACCTTAAAGTGACCCCGGCAGCAAGCATAGCCTTCCTGATGGAATCACACGGATCTCTCTCGATCGCACGCCCCAAGCCCACACCACTATATTCCAGTACTCAAACATTTTCCTCCCCGAGATTGAATGATGGCGCGAAGGTCTCGTAATTGACGCTACGGCCGCCCCGCCCCGCCCCGCCCCGCCCCGCCGTCCGTCCGGCCCGTAATCCCATTGCTCAGTGCCGCCGGGCCCATTACAGTGCCGCCGCTCCAGTCACACACAATGCGCCGCAACCTATAGGACCCCACTCCCCTCCCCCCCTCTTCCTTCCTCTCCCTTCCCTCCTCTACCCTTCTCCTCTCAGGCCGCGGGACCGCGAGCGCCCAAATCTGACCGCGCGTCGTCGTTATGTGTTCCCGGACCGTCCAGTGCACAGCAAAATTCGCAAAAAAAATAAAAATAAAATAAATCCACAAAATAATAGAAATGCGCAGGGTCATGGCCGCAGTGGGGTCGTTCCCTTTCCCCATGTGTGGACAGGGCAGGCCGGCCTCCGTTTTCTCTATATACTTGCGTCTGAATTATATCAGACAGCCCGGCGGCCGGAGGTAGGCGGGGCGGGGTGGGGCGAGGTGAGGCGGGCCGATGCCGCCGATAACGCCTCGACGCGACCAAGATGCATAAAATCCGCCCGAGCAGAGAAAAAGAGCCTTCTGAGAATAGAGCAGTCGCAGATAGGCGGCGCGCGTGTCGTACTGTCACGTGTGTCGCGGTGGCAAAAATAAACGCGCTGTGGAAAAACTTTTCCGTCTATCGGAGTAAATATGGGCATCATGAAATAACTAAGACATGTAGTGCCGAAGCTCAGCGATGAAAATTATGTCCATTGTCCATGTCCCTTTGGTTAGCAGATTTTTTTAACTTAAATTTCACCCATTTTCGCTTGTATGAATTCAAACCTAAACACAGATTGTGTTAGGGTGGGTATATAATTGGCGAGCTCGAGCCCCGTGTTCGTTTGTCGCGCGCGGAGACCTCGATATATCGTATCTACATGTCGGCCCCGCGAAGCAATTCGCGCCGCGTTCAAATGTGCGTGAATCGGCATCCGCACAGTCTCGTATCGTAATTGGACGGCGTTGCGCAGCAGTGCAGACGTGTCGGATCGAAACCGCTGCCGATCAGGGAGCGGCGGCTGTCGATGGTAATCGATACAAAACCGATGAGCTATCGATCCCACCGATTGACAAACACACCGCAATAGGATGTCCTCTAAAGCGCTGGTGAGCAGTAATCATACACCGGCCGACGACGGTTCGTACGAGTCGGAGCGGCTGAACCGGCCCACGAGGTGCGGCGGGGGAGTTGGAGGGGAGCAAACGAACAGCACGGCGCATGACCACCGCATGGCCACGCTGTCGCTGTCAAACGGGTTACCCTGACAGACGCACACTCCATCAGCAGGGCCCTGCAGGGCCCAGGAAGGTGTAGGCGCAGTTAAGCAGTGGATGCACTACACGGTGAAAAATGGCTGATATTTCGATGGAAACTATCCAGGTTCCAACGACAACGCGGGCATGCGCGGGTTTCCCGGTCCGAATCGGCTCGCCGATGCCGAGATGCTTTCTAAACGGCCGTGTGTGTGAGCGGGCCGCGGCCGTCAAGGTTTCTCACGCTTGTGACCGGGTTGGCGGTGCACAGCAGCCGACCGGGCGGGTGGTGGTGAGCGAGAGCACGGCGCACACGGCCAAGCAGGGCAGGTGAAAGGTACGCGACGGAGACACTGGAGCTAATTACTGAGTCGACAGTCGACACACACGGGGCGCGCCGCCCGCTCGGGGGCAGCGCTCTCGGCCCTATATAACGTCTGGTGTGGACCCAAACATGGGCTGGAACGATTAGGCTGCCCGGCACGGGTATATGACAGCTTCACGGAGAGTGCAGCAGGCGAGTGCAGCCCGGCCGGGGAGAGGAGGAGCGAGACACGGAAGGTCAAGAGCGGGTGAACGGCCGAGACAGCCCGCGACCGGGGCGGCGGCGGCGGCGGTGGTGGTGGCGGTGTGTACTACTACTGGACTTGCGCTTACACACTTCCGGGAAAGGCAAGCGCGTGGTCAGAGAGCCGACTCCAATCGGAGACAAAAAACTGAGAAATGCTCTCCCGAGAGGAAATGTGGGTGTATGGGGAGCGAGCGAGCGGGGGCTCCATGTCGACATGTTCCAGGCCGACGTGTCGTCAAGGATCTCTCTCTCTCTCTCTCTCTCTCTCCCCCCCCCTCTCTCTCTCTCTCTCACACGCTACTCCACACAAAAGCAGCACGAGGCCCACATCGCCGGCACCGACAATGTTTCTTTCAAGTCACTACTTCATACTCCCCGCCAACAGGTGAAGCGTGCAGTATGAAAAGTCCCCCTTTTCCCCTCCCTGCTTCCTTATATACCTACACTTTGTTTCGCCTTTTCATTGGTTCCGGAATAACCGTCCTCCTCAAACCGCCTCCGCCAGGCCAGGCCCGCCGGCCCAGAGCGGCCCTCCCACTGCACCGCGCCACGCCTGACACTCCGCACTGAGTCACGCTTTCTTCCACCGATCCGATCCCACCCCCACCGCAACTTCCTTCCAATTCCGCAGGATTTCCTCGCGGCCGCGGGGCGGCGTGGCGCCGCCGTCACCTGTCGATGCGACGCGGTGGCGCAAAAGGAGCAGGGTACCTCAATTCAGGCGTCCCCAGGTCAGCTTATCGCTTTGTTGCAACCAGATCCAAATGACAGTGCGGAGCATTTTATTTTTTCCCACGACCGCGACCGGCTTCAAACCGCATCCATACGCGTCCCGGGGCACACAGCACACGCGCGCTCTGCGCGATGCATGTGAGGACACACAACACAGGAGTTTCTCTCTCGTGCGTTTGTTCCAGAGGAGAGGAAAGAAAAAAAGGCGCTCGCTTATGTCAGCGCGAGAGTAAGAACAGACCGTGAGGAATGTCTTTGCTTCCGAATCGGAATACATACACTATGTGTGTGTGTGTATGTGCGGGCATTTTCTTTTGGCCATTGTGAGATGCGTCGTACTGAGCATCACAAAAATGTTGTCTATTAGGAGATACAAAAATGTGTCATTTACAGAAGCATCTTGCTATGGGCAATAAAAAGTGTCATATGTCATCGTAAAGCGTAATATAAAAGTGATATTGGGTAACCGATACCTGTAGCAGCCTCTTTTTCCCCTCCATCTTAGCTCGCTGCAGCTTATCAGCAGCGCTAG